GGAGGAGCTCGAATTGCGCAAGGGAACCCGCGTGCTACATTTGCAAGATAACTACAGCTACCGCGAGTACAACTGGGAGATTGGTCGTCTCGTCGGTGATGTCGGTACCGTACCAGGCTCTGAGAAGACGGATTCGCGCAGGGCAAAGTTCCGCCTGCGCAAGAGGAAACGCGTGTGCCATTTTAATGCTATCAAGAAGCGCAAGGCTGCCAAGGCTGACAGGCGCAAGGAGTACCGGTCAAGGGTACAGGCCAAGAGACAAAAGAGGGTTGCTGAGCGTAAAGCTATTGCTGAGAAGATGGCTGCTGCCGCTGCTGCTGCCGCTGCGACTGCTACTCCCAAGAAAAAGGCAAAGCGTTCCAAGAAGGTGGATGCTTGAGTTATGAGGGGTATACCGGACGTGCAGCCCGGTTGTGAGCCTGTCATGTTCCATAAAAAGATACTGTACATTATTTGTTACCAATAGAACTGTTCACGTTTCTCGGAAGAGAATTGGAGGCAGGGTTATGTCTGTGTGTCTCATTCCTCGCCCCTGTTTGCACTCGTGGAATTCATTGTTTATATTGAGGACGGATTGGGGGACTGGAATGTAAGTTTGCACGATTGGGAGTTGACACAAAACATTTATCTGCTTTTTAGGGCCGGATGGAAAAATCTCGAAACGATTGCCCACTTACGCTGTTTCCGGACACGAGAGAGAGGATTCACCATTAACCCGTAATCCAAAAGCAACCATGAGGTTCCGCGTCCGAGGCGGCCAGACTGCCGGGACAGCTTCCAGCACCAGTACATCTGAAAACGAAGACGACGCAATTCCCGATGCTGTCGGTATCCTGTCCCCATCCAGGCCAAAACGAGCTGCCTCACCTTCAAAACGCGTCGTCTTTTCGACTGAGAATTTACTCAGTATTCGGGCTATGTTGGATGAAGCCCGGGGAAGGGGCAAGAGTAGGAGTAAGAGCCCTCCCAAGACAAGACAGCGCAAGTATTTTCCCGTTTTATTTCGGCCCTAGGAAAGAGACTAACAACTCACAGCAGTGCCATTCCGAGAACGTGATCAGGCCCAGGAGGGCTCTGAGCGGAGCAGAGACGGTCAACAAGTTGTTGCACCAGTTTTTACACCTAGACAGATCTTGAGGCCTCCCCATCCTTCCGTGTCACCAATTAGGCCTCAGCAACACTTTGAGTCGCGTCCAATGAATCCCATGGCGCCCAAGTTCACTGCTAGAAGGCAGACGTCCTCTTCTTCCAGTTCTTCCGGCCTGTCTCGAACGGCTTATGGCCTACATCCTACTCCTGGAGGGCCTCAAATATCTGGGAGAAAACGGACAACGTTCAATCTCGACCCCCGAGAGCAGTTGCCCGCGCCAACCCCAAAACGAAGGTTGTTGGCCGAGGTGAACCAGGTCAATGGGAGACAGCGGCTTGAGACTCCTGAGAACGAGATTGACGAGAGTAGTACAGATGAGCTGGGACAGTTGGATGAATTGAGGATGGGGGATTCCGTGGTCGTAAAGAGGAAGAGGAACTTTGAGGTTCAGTCGCCTGTTCGTCGACCTGTTGCAAAGAGGACTGCCACGATGAACGGTAGTAGTCTCGCCCAGAGTGAGCAAACTGGTGCCTCGGTGGAAACAAATGAGAATCACATGGGCAGGGCAAGGAGGAGGAGAGGTGTGTCGGTTTGGAGGCTTGCATCGCCGCCCAAGATAAAAGCTGTGGAGGTTGATGATACGGAGGATGCTGGTTCAGATGATGAAATGTCTGTGCAATATGATAGCCAACTCGAAGAGGAAGATTTGGACTCCACTTCCGGACAAGGGGACAACCACCACCACGAACTATTTCTCCAACGACTTGGGATTGGTAAGGACCCCGACATCTCCAAGAACGATCGCGGCTCAGTCGAGTGCCGCCTCTGTCACACCCTCCACCAAAGCGAGGCCTCCTACCTCGCGCACATTCATGGCAAGAAACATCAAAAGAATATACTCCGTCAAGAGGAGATCCCCCGTCAAGAGGAGATTCAGGATCTGGAAACGCCAGAACCAGTAGCAGCCCAAATTGAACAGACTGTTGAGCAAGGAACAGAGTCTAGCGGTCAGGAGGACAGTTTCTCTGACTTGGATTACCAGTTTAGAAGTGTAGAGATGTTAAGAGAGCCAAGTGTGATATCTCAAACTGGAGAAAGCGCGGAGCCTGTTGAGGAAGAGACACCGGAAGTTATCCACGAGCCGGAGGTTCCTGTTACTGAACCTGAGATACAAGAGGCAGCGCCGACACAAAGTCCCCCTAACCCGACCACAGAGCCTGAAAGCCCAGAGGCCCCAGAAGCCCCAGAGAGGAATGGTGACAATGCAGATGAGGAGAATATTGTTGCCAGTGAAGAGCATCCGATTACCATCTGTGGTCAAAGATTGTACTCTGACTGGACAGGCACCTGGGGTAAGTTCACCAAGTCCTTTTTCTTCACTTCATCATGATGTCACATAACACTAGCTGACCACCACAGATGGTAAACCTTGCAAAGTCCCCGGCGCAGGTGTTCTATTTCCAGAAGGCTATCAACCTCGCATCGGCGAACCTGAACCATGGATCTGTCCAATTCGAGATTGTCAGACCATTTTTCCCGAAGCATTCGCTCTTGGGGGTCATTTCAGCGCAAGTCATCGAGCCTCTCTGCTCAACGACAACCAAGACGGTACCATGTCCATCATTGGCAAGCGTCAAACCAAGGACCCTGAATCTGGCCGTATGCCTGCGCTCGTGATATCCCGAAAACGTCTTGATCCCGCTACAGCGCCCCCAAAGGCCGATCCTCACAAACCAACCCGCAAAATAAGGGCAAGTGATGGAAGGGCAAAAACCAGTTCACCAAACAAGCTGGGCAATTCTGTCAGGAAACGACCCCGTCCATCAGCCACCACGCCGAGATCGAGGAGATCCCTTCTTGTCGTCGATATTCCCAGCAACAAGTCTTCAGTCGCCAATGCTGCTCAATTTCAACCAACAGATCCAGCTCTTTGGCAATATCTCTGTCTATATCTTCCTCATAACGTGCCATTTCCTACCAACTCTCTTATCAAGGAACTAATCTCCCTCCCACGCCAACGTGAACTGCCTCACAGATGGAAATTACAACTTTCCAGCCGATCTGGTCCGAGCATCAATTTTTTATGCGCAGTTCTCATTTACCTTGCAGGAGACAAAATGCCCGGAGAGCCATGCAAAGGATGTAGATCCTTCAAGGTAGACGGCAAGTTCCCCGAGTGCGTCATTCTTCCACAAGAAGGCATCTCACAAGAACTCAGAGAACATTTCAACGGAAGATGCTCGGGATGTTTCTACAGAGGATTGGAAGAGTATAGCGGGGAAGATACAGAAGGGTCCACCACCACCACCACCACCACCACCAGCGAGGATGAGCGTGAGATCACAAACACACCATCATCGGTTCAGAGCGTGGTTGGCAGGTTGACAAACGGTTCTTCGGGTTCGAAGCTGAGGGTGAAACCTACAGTTTCTGCTGTCGACCAGAGGAACTCTCGAACTGTTGCTTCTGATGCAAAGGAAAAAAACCCGCCGACAGAACCGACAGAACCGACAGAGAATAGAGTCAGTCTGAGACCCAGGCCGGCCGCTTCTATAAATGTCTCTCGGTCTACCAGAAGGAAACCATCGGTAACTGCAGTAAAGAAAGCAACCCTTACCTCCACGTCGCCTACTCTTTCGTCGGAAACAATGGGAAGGCCGTACAGGATGGCGCCGTGGGAAATCGCTCCAGGACGTATATCGATTCGTGGTGCAGAGAAAAAGACGGACAGTAGGTTCTCTCTACTTTCAACTTTGTTCCTCTTTATTTTTATTTTTAATGTCTTCATTCTTCGGTCGGTTTTCTGTGCATTGCAGTATTGACTAATTAATTTTTAGATATCGCATTCTCGTCAACTTACCTCCTACCATCTTCCCCTCCAATCCCTTTAACATCCACAACAACATTTCAGGCATTTAATGTGCAACCAGGACGGAATATTTCCTGGCCAGAAGAGGAAGGAAAATTAAGGGTATGTTCTGTCGCGCAGGGAGTTGTCAATGTCAAACTCTACGGTAAAGAGTTTTCCCTTGGACCGAATGGGATGTGGAAGGTGCCTGTCGGGGAAGGGTGCGAAGTTGGGAGTGTGTGTTATGGCGGGGCTGTTATTCATGTTTGTGTCTTTGAAGGGGAAGAAGAGGAGTGAGTAGTGGATTGTTGTGATGGTGGTGATGTTGGTGGATTATATGAAATTGAGGTTACATTAGTGGGAACTGGGGCTATATAAATGAGGTTACTGGCAAGAACCAGCAAGCAATCCGAGCTACGTCGAGTGTCCACACTTGAAAATCTTCCGTAGTATAGTGGTTAGTATATGAGCTTGTCATTCCAACAACGCTCGGGACCCGGGTTCAATTCCCGGCGGGAGAGACCATAATTTTTTGATGTTTTTTTTTTTTTGGTGTTGACATTTTCGGTAAACGGCATGTTTGCATTCAGAGAAGGCATTTTTTGAAGCCGTATTAATTATTTTTATTGAGTTTCAGGCCTCGGAAGTGGTTGGGGTTATTGGCTTGCCATTCCTGCAGGAGGCGTTTACGTTAATTTGCTTTAAACCGTTTGCCTCAGTTTACGCATCAGGACAATCACATCTTGAAATCCCTCATCAGATGATGCTTCATTCAGCAGTGTTGTTGTATTCACATGTTCTTTGGAGAGTCATTGCATTGCGCATATCGCCTGGAAAGTGACTTAAAGACTGTAGGAAATGGAGTTTATCGGCAATAGGCTGCCGCTTTTTATTATATTCAAGGTGTCACAGGATGGAAATATCTGTTCCCAGGATTTGTCAATGAAAATGCTTGGAATCTTTGTGTTTGTTCAGTCTCGTCCGGTGAAAAAGCGACAGGAAAGAAATAAGCCGATGCCTTCATATGGGGCTTGCACGGTAGGGTTAATATAACAAATTAAAGTCACTTTGGCCGAGTGGTTAAGGCGCGGGCCTGCTATATTCATCACGTGATGATGATTAACGCATAGCTCGTCTCTTCGGAGGCGCAGGTTCGAATCCTGCAGGTGACGATATCTCCATTTTTGTCGTTTTGTTGACCTGCCTTTTTTTTGCTGGCTTTCCATGTTTCTGCTTCTTCAAGTAATTTTTAAAATGATATTTGGCGTTTTTTCTCGGGGAAAATCCTCTTCCAATGTGTCAACAGAGAGAGGCATGGCAAGTGCTGCAAGAACATCAACCTACATAACTGTTGGCAGTTAGAAGACAGTTTGGTTGGCAATATCAAAAGTTCTCTCTTCTCCTTCTTGGGAGACTCCAATAGTTTATTTCAAGAATTGTGGTATAAATAGTCCCATCTGCATTGCTAAGTAGAGGTGCACGCAAGCATTCGTGAGTCAACCGTGTAGATGTTTTTCTTTTCGCAAAACTGTAAGACATTGCCGTTATACGGCTAATGTACATACAATACAAAATAAAAAATTACAAAGCGTAATGCCCATGTCTCTTATTTTTGAGTCATGACCCAAGTTCATAATACCTCATTAGACTCCTTGGAGCGCCGTTTCCAGGTGGAAGTTCGCTATAAACATCATGGCTGTACACCTCACTTATAATCTGCTGTTGCCAATGATTCACTTTGGTATCCTTGTCGTCGTCTGGATGGAGCTGTGCATTGTTCTGCTCCTGGACAAAAGTCGGTGCTCTCTTCGCCAGCCTTACCAAACCCGACCAGTTCTTCCCTTCCAGTAGGATTAGCAGCCCAAAGAGAAAAGCTCCCTGTATCTTCATTAACAGTGAGATAAGCCGAGCTCAGGAACTGCCGTCCCAGCTGGACAAGATCATTACCATTGATGTCCTGAATGGGATTAATGACGAGCGTCGGTTCCGTGAAGTTTGCCTGCAGAGCTCCAGTCTATCTATTTATCGTAACATCTAGAACAACCAGCTGGTCGTTAGGGATCTGCACAGCCAGGCCGGACTGGAATTTGAACGTCAAGTTCCCATTGTATGGTGTGTCTGTTGCGTCGCTATACCTGACCGCAAAGAAGTTAAGCCCAAATGAGCGGCCGGGAAGCTTGGCTCCGGTAAGATTACGGAAAGTAGAAAAATATGGGTTGAGTGGGAGGGTCATGAGTACAGGGTAATCAAGCACGAGATAAGCCGAGATAGAGGCAGATCGAGAACCGGTGAATATGCTGGTGTTTGTTCCGTTTGGGAGGTTGAGAATCATGTCGATGATGATTACGAGCATCCCTGTTGGACAGATTGCTCTGTCGGGGGAGATTGATTGAGTGTATGGCTGACCTGAGACTTTGGCGCGGTCGTAGCCGCCAAAGACTATGTTGCCGTCCAGTTGAGTCTTGCTGTTTGCTCCTTGACGGCCCCAGAATATTCTAAAGGAATGGACGGCAATTTTGCCCGATGATTTGAGGGCCGAGAGGAAGGTCGAATTTGCACCCATCCCAATAACCATCTGTGGTGTGTATCTTTGCTCACCCCAGTTGTTTAGAGCTATTCCCATGGGGAAGTTTGTGAGGGAGAGGTTGTCGTTGAGTTTGAGGGAGTCGGCAACAAAGCTCATCTGGGGGAAAGTGGCCGAGTCGACTGGGTGGGAGTTGGGCTAAGGTCCTGTTCGGGAGGTCGAAGCAAAGCTGTCATACTCACCGCCTCTAAAGGTTATGCAGCCTTTTTGGGTGAACTTCTCAGGGCCGAGGTCACAGAATCCACTGGTACCGTAAATCATGGTATTGTTCAATGGCCTGCAGAATGAAGAAAAAGTTCAAAGTCAATGCCATGGTCTTTCCAAACAGACAGAGTAATACTAACCAGTGGGGCATGAAAGCAACAGGTTTAGCAGGTGTGCCGAGTGCCAGTTTCATCCTTCGAGAGACTGAATTATTCGGAAGAGTGACATTGCCAATTCGGACAGCTATTGGTGAAGGAATACATTCGGCTGATCTCCAAGAAGCAAAGCCCAAGACCAGAAGCTGAAGTACGGCCCAAAGCGTTGACATCCTTTCAATATCGCCTAAGGAAAATTGAAAAGATGAAACGGAGCAATAACAACAACAACAACAACAACAACAACAACAACAACAACAACAACAACAACAACAACAACAACAACAACAACAACAACAACAACAACAACAACAACAGAGAAACGAAAAGAAAAAAAGACAGAGGAGAGAGAGGCGAACAGCGGAAAAGCCACAGAAAGACAGCAGAGAGATAATGGGAAATATCAGGTCACATTAGCCTTATTAATCTTATAACCGGAGGGCTGGTTTCTGTAACTAAAATGAAAGGGAAGGAATGGTGCCAAAGCTCCGGATGTTCCCAACGGCCAACTCAGTCTGCAGGTAAGTCTGTTTATTTCCTCAGATCCCACACAGTAGGGTTGGTGCAAAATGGCATGTCTCAGAGCCGTGGTGCCGGATACGTCAAGATGCAGTACAGCTGTACTTCTTCCTTGCACCTTGCAAAGCAGATAAACACAGTTCAAGATATCTGATATCTGAGTGGAAAGGGGCTTAACACTGTGCGTATGCATGATTATCCACGATATGGGTATTGGTAGCGCCAAACTTATCCACATCAAGAAAAAAAACCCAACCACGCGCTGAAGGTGAGATGAGACCTTTTTTTGGATCTGAATACCAACAAACAAAACACCAATTTACTCCTTCCGGAATAGGTAAACCATTCCGCCCAGGAGTCCCTACTCTCAGCAAGGCCCGTTTGTCTAGACAAATGCCACTCTATCTCGAAAAACAGCCTCTTTGAAAAAAACGATTGCTCGTTTCTATACATTCCTTGTTATTTTGAAAAGGGGTTTTTGTTTTTCAAATCAAGCTTATTTTTATTCGAATACGGATAGGCCTTTTCTATAGGCGTCAAAAAGGCATGTTTATAATCTGGACAGGCATCACAGAAATATTGCGCTAAATTAACAAACGTTTTACGAATCCCTAGGGGTGTTGTAGACACCACGCAATTGTTGCAAATACTTAGCGCTCTGGCATGCATTCTCTACAGTCTCGTCGGATTGGATGAACTGCATGATCGAGCCAACAAATTCTTGGCAGGCCACAAACATTGTGCTGTTGTTGTCAAACGAAACATTAACTTATTGAGCGAGCACGTAGATCAACACACAATTAGAGTAATTTGCAAATGAGAGTTCAGTATAAATAAATTCGAACGAGCGTATTTATATACGATAGATGAACAAAAAATCACAACCACAAGGACAATGGCTTCCACCGAATGTTTCCGGCCGTGGAATTACTGGCTTTGTAATACTGGCTGTTCAATAGTATTATCTCGGCCAAATCTGGTCATTCTGGTGATGGCTTCCAGCCTCGCAACGGCTTAGTTACTGGCTGGCACTGGCACTTCCGTATTGCTCCTTATTTCTGGCAGCTAAAACCATGCTATTTCTACGAGCCGTGCCATGAGCTATCAACATATATTACGCTAAATTTCTCAGCCGATGGGCACACAAAAAAACTATGGTCAAAGGGGCTGTAAAGGCAGAGAAACCCCTGACAAATTCTCCATTCTAAAAAGACTTTTAAATCACGTTATATTGGAGCCGACTAAAATGACCGTGGCTTGGAAAAAGGATATTGGGAGCGGATTCACGGTCATGGAGTGGGAATAAGAAGATTACTTTCCATATAATGGGCATTATCACAAATCATGGAACTTTCAAGGTGGAGGTGGCTCAAGGAAAGCAGGCTTATTGAAACAAACCTTTAACCAAGATTTGATCAGAAGCCAGCTTCTTCTCGGGCATTTCAGAACTCCATGCTTGCAATCTGATCGGGTCTCTAGATTGTGATTGGTTCTTTGAAACCGTGCATTGTGGTCGCATTCAGTTTCGTTGCAACAATGATGTAGAAGGTGTGGAGGATTGCAGCAATAGTATGGAAGGTGTGGGAGGTGTGGGAGGAGTAATACCAATGAGTGGTCCCAAAATTCATCTAGTCTCAAGTATCTAGGTATGTCCTGCTGAAAATTAACGGATCATGGGTGCGAATGCAATGGAGCCGGCGAGACGGAAAACCCGCTACAGCTTTCGAGTTTAGGATTGGGTAGAACGGATAAACGCAAATAATGAGATCAAGATGGGACTAAAACTTCATCCCAGCTTTTCCAACTGGCTCAGGATCAAAATCTTGCTGTAAATAAAACCTGCAAACTCCAAATAGTCCTCCCTCCTACACTTCCAACTCTTTTCAACTCTTTCCAGAAACCAGACAACTCCGCCACGTCCAATAATCCAAAGTTTCTCAACTAATCTTCAAATTCATCTGTCAAATAAGATGACCATTGCTAGTTAAACTTCACCTATCTCGAAAACAGCCTCTTTAAAAAATTATTGCTCGTTCTTATACATTCCCTCTTATTTTTAAAAGGGGTTTCGTTTTTAAACCAAGCTTATTTTTTATTCGAATAGGCCTTTTCGATATCAAAAAGGCATGTTTATGATCTGGGCAGGCATCACAAAAATATTGCGCTAATTAACAAACGTTTTACGAATACGGTATTGTAAACACCACGCCATTGTTGCAAATCTAGCGCTCTTGCATGCATTTTCTACAGTGCCAACTTTCAACACACGCAACCCCAGCAGCTTCTTGGCAAGCCACAACGGCACCGCGGCACAGCTGCACGATAACTGAACGGCCTGAGACATCTCTTCTCATATTTATCGTACGCAGCTGAAAACTCTTATATCTACGACCCTTCGTCTGATCAGAGGTCTTGCCCCTCAGTTCACTGCACCAATTCGTTGCCCCGTTGTCTATATCCCTTTGTCCCGTTTAGCCACTATACCTATGCCAAGAACCAGCAATCTACCCCTCATTGGAACAGATCATCATCATCATCATCATCCTCTGGCAGGATGTCCAAATCAACAGCAGTCCTCGGCGGCATGCCCCAGCGAATCATACCTCGAGTCAATGGCCCAAGAGTACGGATCAGAACTCTCATCCTGGGCGGCGCGTTTTTCGCAACTATATGGTACCTGTTACAAGGGTTAAAGTTGGGGGATGTGTCG